GTTATCCTGCTGTGTGGGATAAATCCATGAGCATAACCTTTTCTGTCGTGTTCCATCTATGCTCCCCTCCCCCAATCCTTTCCCCAAATGTGAGCAACACAGAGGCTGGTTATAGTTTCAGAGAAACATAAATGTCCTTTTCCTTTACTCCAGTCATGCCTGGAATGCCTTTTCTTCTACTGCCTCCTTCATTCTCTTCTCCCCACCACCCCCCCGTAACCACCAATCTACTCTCTGTCTTCATTAGATCTACTTTCTTGGCTCCCACCCATGAGTGAGAACATATATAATTTACTATTTTACCATTTTTAAGTGTACAGTGCTGTGGTAATAAATACATTTATATATTTTTTTCTCTTCATTCTCTTCTCCCCACTCCCTCCCCGTAACCACCAATCTACTCTCTGTCTTCATTAGATCTACTTTCTTGGCTCCCACCCATGAGTGAGAACATGCACCATTTATCTTCTGTGCTTGGCTTAGTTCACTTAACGTAATGGCCTCCAGTGCCATCCATGTTGCTGCAAATGATGACATTTCATTCTTTTTTATGGCTGAATAATATTTCATTGTGTATATGTAACGCGTTTTCTTTGCTCATTCATCTGTTTATGGGTACTTAGACTGATTTCTTATTTTGGCTATTGTGACTAATGCTGCAGTAAACATGGGAGTGCAGATATCTCTTTGATATATTAATTTTCTTTCTTTTGGATATATACCCAGTAGTGGGATTGCTGGGTCATATGGTAGTTCTATTTTTTGTTTCTTTGGGGTTTTTTTGTTTGTTTGATTGTTTTAGAGAGAGACAGGGCCTCACTCTGTTGCCAGGCTGGAGTGCAGTGCAGTGGCGCAATCATAGCTCACTGCAGCCTTGACTTCCTGGGCTCCAGTGATCCTCCCATGTTGGCCTTCCAAGTAGCTGAGACTACAGGGAGTCACTACCACTCCCAGCTAAGTTTTAAATTCTTTGTAGAGACGGGGTCTCACTATGTTGCTCAGGCTAATCTCAAACTCCTGGCCTCAAGAGATCCTCCCGCCTCAGCATCCCGAAGTGCTGGGATTATAGGCATGAGCCACCTCGCCCAGCCTATTTTTTGTTTTTTGAGGAACCTCCATACTGTTCTCCACAGTGGCTGTACTAATTTACATTCTCATCAACAGTGTATGAGGGTTCCCCTTTTTCCATATCTTCCCCAGTGTTCATTATTGCCCGCCTTTTAGATAAAAGCCATTTTAACTGGGGTGAGATGATATCTCATTTTGGTTTTGATTTGCATTTCCCGATGACTAGTGATGTTGAGCATTTTTTCATATACCTGTTGGCCATTTGTATGTCTTCTTTTGAGAAATGTCTGTTCAGATCTTTTGCCCATTTTAAAAATTGGATTATTTGTTTTTTTGCTATTGGGTCGTTTGAGCTCCTTATATATTCTAGTTATTAATTCCTGTGAGATGGATAGTGAACTCAAATTTTTAAAAAATACTTGATTAGCCTAGCGTTTTATATTTATCCAGACTTCAGCTTATAGTAAGTAAGGAGACTGGTGCCAGACACAGCTCTGAGCAGGCCATTTAGTTTTGGGGGTACGCTTTGGCCCCCTCTCCCTCACCCTGGTCCCCATACCCCTTGGTGACCTTTGCTTCCCCTGATCTCAGAGCCTATGCTCATCTAACAGGGGACTTCCTGCTGTGATACTCATATTTTGTTGTTTTGAGTTGCCCTTACCACATGCCCTCTCCATGGGGCATTTGCACTCCAAGCCATGTCTCTCACAGTCAATGAAATAACTTGTCCCAGAGGAAAGGAAATGCAGGTCTCAGTGGAGGGGAGAGGTGCACTGGGGAGTTGGTCCGTACCCCAGGGGCACAAGGGGCCTGGAGGGACAATGGGGAATCAGGAGGGACAGTGCTGTCTCTTCCCCCTCAATCCCCCAAGTGGCAGTCCACTGGAGGTTTCTTTTTCTGATACTGGCTTCCTTGCACCAGGGGCTCAGGCTCCTCAGTCGGGGGGAGGAGCCTGTCCTGTTACTGGGAGGCAGGACAGCGACAGGAAAACATCCTCCCCATAGTCTGCCCATCCCGGGCAGCCTCCCTCCCCAGACTGTCCTGGCATTGAGCGCAGGGCTCTGTGTTGAGGCAAATTAACCATTGAGGGTGTTAGCAAGTAACAGCTTTAACCCACTCCCCTCCCAGATGGCTAACATTTTGTCAGCGTTCCAAGTAAGGACAGAGTGTGGCT